ACTAAATACAGCTCAACATAGCAAACAGCTAAAGAGGAGCTGAAAAGGCAGAAATAAATTGAAAACAGCTAAAAAAAAAGCTAAAAGGAACTTTAATAACTTAAATTAACAGTAAGAAGTAAAAACAAGCATAGAAGCTGAAAGGAGTTGAAAATAAACAAAATGCAGCTAAAATGAGCAAAAAAGAAGTCAAAGGAAGCTGAAATTAGCAGAAAGAAATAAAAGATGAACTAGAATAAACAGGTAAAAGGTACGGTACAGATTATGAACATTTTGAAGGGTTTTAATGACGTTGATGACAGCTTTATTTATTTTCAATCAGAAAAGAAAATATATATAAAAAGTTAAATATCTGAACAAGTTTAAATTGCTAAAATAGCAAAACCCAAAGCTGGATTTTCCTGAAGGAACTGAATGTTTTGGATATATAAAATGTTGAAATTGCACAAAAATTGTGCAAAAAGATACGAGCTAAAAAAAACATACAAAATAAAAATGGATCTCAATAATGTGAACGTTTTATAAGCGTTCGCACAATGAAAGTTTTAATTTAATGTTTTCTCCTGTTTTCACGTTGTTCAAGAACAAACTGACGTCATGAAGGTGGGTAACTGTGTCATTTCCTGTGCATCTATGCAGTCTGTTAGCAAAATGTTTTACAAAGCTTTCCCGACTGATTTTAATCAAATCATTAAATGTACGTCAACAACCGATCATCATGAATCAAGATGAACACAACTAGCCAACTTTAGCTGACAGAAAAACAGCTGAGGTTCAGTCAGTCTGATAGATGTGGTAGTAGCTGAGAGTTGTTTATAACATATACCCTGAGGGTGACTTCTAGTTCTAACTCCATCACCATCATTTCATGTCATAAAATGATCTTGATCTTAAACTCTTCTGTAGATTAACGCTCTGTTTACATGCAGACATTCCTCTTTGACATCACTTCCTGTTACTTCACATGTAAATATCTCAACTGTTCATCTCAGCAACGGGATTTTTTTTTTTTACTATATTAATGTTTTCTTTCCAAAAACACATTCATATTTATTATAAAAATTTGATGTCAAAGGTCCTTTAAATCAGTGGGTGATTTGCATTTTGATCCCTGTTGTTGTATTTATCAGTCTCTGTAAAGCAAATAAAGACAATAAGATGAAACATAGTTTTTTTAAGTAAAACCTTATTAGTTTAATTCCTGTGTCTGTACAAGTTGAGCCCAGATGTCACCTTGTTTTGATTTTACTTGGAAAGCTGACAGAGATTTAAAGGAAACTGCCAAACATAAATGCCGGAGTGTGTGGAAACAGCAGATTTGTTCCAGAATCGGTGCATTATTTATCCTGATAATAAATGTTAAGCAGGCAGAGGCCTCCTGTGTCACAGCTGGACGCAGTGGACCTGCTGCAGCTGCTGTGCTCATCTGAATGGGCCGCTTTAGGCTAGAAAATAAAACAGCTTTGTGTAAAAAAAAGATTTAAAAATATTACAAATGCTATTTTTATTGTATGTCACTACTTGTACAGGACAAAAAGTGACACTGAGACGTAACATTGTTACAGAGTAACAAGTTTGTCTCCATTTTGTTAGCCTTCTGTTTTCAATAACAAGCAGCTAGCTTGTGCTAAGCTAACAAACTAACTGGCTATGTTGTGTTAGCGGATTAGCATGCTTCTGTTTGCCGTTTCCCTGCTAGCTGACCCCTTCTAGAGTCGGCACGGGCAGTTTCCAGTACACAAATAACAACAAAAGAGGGTAAATAAACAAAGAGGGACGGCGCTGTCGGGGTGAAATTCAGTTTGTCGGGAATGAGAGCAACTGTCACGGGGTTAGCAAGTTCGCTGTCACCCGTTTGTGTCAATTTCTCTGCTCGTTTTTGAGAAACAAAGCAAGGACAGGAGAGGCAGCTCGAACACACACACACACACACACACACACACACACAC